TGTGTGTGTGTGTGTGTGAGCAATCAAGGGTTCATGCACCCTGTTCGTACAAATTAGCCCTCCCACTCACCTTCTTAAGTGTGTTTTTTTTCTGAGAGAATACAAGGGAGAAAACATCAGTTTCTCTGCTCACTGTCCACCTTGTTAAGTCTGAGCACATCACTCACAAGGCAGCGGTGGGCAGCTTCTCTGAGTAGCATCCTTCAGCTTCTGTGTTTGTGTTTCTGAAACTGAGCGCAGTTGATGAGGCAGGAGGGGAAATGCAGGTGCTTGTGTTTACTTCCCTCCGGACCTCCCTCCTCCTTGTCTCTCTGCTTCCTCCTCCTCCAGCACAGAAGAATGCAGATAAATATTGATCTGAAAAAGCTTTCAGAAAAAACAATTTATGGCAACGGAAGGAAATTAAATACTGTCAAAGCGAAAGAAAATTACTGAGAAAGGGCAGAGTAATCCTTTAATTTAATTAGGTAAATTACAACAAAAAAAACCTTTCTAAGTCTTTTTTTTTCTTTCTTCTGCCTGTCCTCTCCCTCTTTGCTCTCCCTCGCTCCCGCTGGAAGGCTTTCCTGCGGTTGCTAAGCAACAGGGAAACAGTTTTTCTTTGGTTATGCCAGCGGGTCCCGGAGGCTGGCAGAGAGAAGGGGGCACAGTGGAAGTACTGTGGAGTCTGCCAACAGCCGAGTGCATGCCTACAGCTGGGTCGGGTTGCGGATCAGCCTCCCCCATCGCACTCATATCGCCCCTGGTAGGCACCTGGGGGTTACGACACAGTTAATGATAGCAGGGAGAGCTCACAAGGCACCCCGGCCCCCCGGCAGTAAACACAGGGTCACTGTAGGGTCACAGTGATGAAACGGCATGACTTCGAACTACAGGGGCCAGATCAACAAGAACCCTAGAGAAGAAAGTATTTTCTATGCGCTTTGTTTTTTAGACTTTAAATCACAAGTTGTATTGAGTTGCATGAAGTTGCCCAACTTGCTACCTCTCTAACAAACATAAAAAAATCACAAAACATATTTGACAGGAAATAATTTCACCAAGGGGTTTTTGACTGGCAGCGAAGTACCTCACAATAGAAATCCTTTTTACAATAAGTATGCTAATCAAAGCCTCCACTGAAATGGATTCTATTGCTCTTTTATTATGTTGTTCTTTCTCTCTCCAGGTGATTGACACATTGTAATCTTGCTAATAAGCACCTCCACTGTCTGTTTCCTTCCCATTGTGTTAGTGTTACAATAGGCCAACTTGGCAGGTGTGCGTGTTTGCTGAGCGCTCAATATAGAAGCAAATCTCAGTTACCTGGTATTATCCTGAAATGCAGGCACTCCAAATGCTGTGTCCTAACTGTCAGTCTCCACTAGCGTCTCCCAGGGGTCAGCAGCCAATCAAACCTTGCATTACTCATTTCCACCCTCTCTCCTAACCAATCATCTGGCCTGTCTCTGGCCATTAGGATGTCTCTATAGCTTCTCATTTCTTCAGAACCCTTTCCCTGCCCTGTTGCTGGATATTTAGAATTCCCATAAATTAGATATTATTATTTAATTATCATTAAGAGTTTGAAGGCACGTCAGTGTTGCCTGGTGCCGCTTTGAGCTCATATGCAAGACTTCAGTATAAACCAAATAAACAATGTTTAACCCAGCTCTATTGTGTGCACTGGTGGGAAGCCAGTGAGGGATCATATATTTTTGCTGCATTAGACTCCTGCTGGTTGGTCTTGGCACCTGTACAGAGCTATGTGGGGTAATCTCATGCAATTTTTAAATCCTCTAGGTGATGCCCCCGTCTCCCATGTGAAAACACATGGCTTTGTATGCCACATTTCAAGAAAGAAAAAGGTTGAAGGGTCGATTCCCAAAAAAGAAAACAAAATGCCACAGGAATAAAATGTGTGCTTGCCAACTGCTGCAAACTAGGCCTCCATTGTACAAGTCAGTGTTGAACCTTGTAAGCAGATCTGCTCCCCCCCTCCACTTTTGAATGTAGTGTTCTAATTAGGCTTGTCAGTGGTGGTCGGTAAAATGTGTTAGCGTGGCATTCAACAGCTGTTGTATGTGTGTTTGCGGGTTTTTCTGTGTGTGTGTGTGTATAAGTAAGCTGCTGTTTGAGTGACTTATATGAATATTGCATGGCCACAGAGATGGAGTTGTTGCAACAAGGGACGACACACACATCCAGTGCATGCACATATCCACATCAGGCTATGTTTATCTGGCAATAATGCTGTATGTGAAGATGCTGAAATGTATTGATCTGTCAGTCTGAGGAGGTTTTTTTCAAATTTTTTCTGTGGGGCTATTATCTGTTTATGTGATAGCTTTGTCTCGTTGACCTTCAACCCTCATGTTTATTTTCTTAATTTTTCCGTAGAATTATGATAAAAATATTCAAAAATTCAAAGTGCTCGCCTTGGCCCCATCCTTCAGCTTGACTCTGCAGCTGAATTAATTTGCCTCATCAAGTGCATAACACAGAGGTAATCAGCTTTTTTTTACTTTTTTTTTTTACTTTTGAGAAGGTCAATTGATGCACGATGAGGCAGATAGTTATGGTCTGCCATGCTCTTCAGCAAGGCACTCAGACACACATATTAGTCAGTGTGCCTGACTTGGGCATTCAGCCAAGGCCTATTAGCTTGAACCAATGCCAAATTATTTTCTTCTTTTAGTTTTAGAAGGTATTAAATGACACATAACTGAGCGTTTCCATATGATGCCTTTAACATATAGGCTATAAAATCAAGTAAGTCGAATACAGCACCTTTAAATCGCTTATTGGCTCTATACAAACATCATACTTGCTATAGTATCATGGCTTCTCGGGACCTAAAGAGCATTTGAGAGAATGTAATCAGTGTAATAAGTCTGCAATTGAGCTGACATTTTAATCATTTTAGACTGTATGTCCAAAGTTTTCATCAGCTTGACATTTCAAAATGCAAATAGCATGCTCCGTGTACAGAAAATGTGAGGAATGCATTATCACCTGTTTTCCATGAGTCAGATATGGCTGAAAAAAGTCAGTTTGGGAAAACTGCAAATAAAGAGATGAGTTGAGATGTGGATGTCAGGGTGGTAAATAATGTATTCACTTGTGTTAATCCCCAACAACTTCTTAGATTAGTGACTTAAGTGCTCTGACAATCATTTTTAACTAAGAGTTTGGGGATTTTGTTTTAATTTCCTAAATCAAATGGTGGCCTATCCTTTTCTCAACTCTATTACCAGACAAAAAACATCCATACAGTACAATTCTGCAAAACCCCAGGTCAGATTTGGATTATGCCAGTATTTGCACTTTGCATCTACAGCAAAGTGGTTAATTTTAGGAAAAGATTGTGGTTACAGTTAATAAAAAGGCAAATAAACACAATTATAGGTCTGTTATGGGACTCAAACTCAATCTCCTGCATAAAAGTACACTATTATTTATGGGACACTAACATTGGAGGTAAATTGTTAAGTGCAGAATGTACATTATACATATAATTATTGGGATACTCTGATGATATTGTCTAGACATTGCTCAAGAAAATTAAATATGAAATTGAATTGTCATTACTGTTTTCATCAAAGAATGCCATCAAATTCGTTAAATAATATTAAATATGCTTCTCGTATTTTTTCCCCTTGCAGTCAATCAGAGAAGTGACCGGCTACGTGTTGGTGGCTCTCAACCAGTTCGACTACCTGCCGCTGGAGAATCTACGGATCATCCGCGGCACCAAACTGTACGAGGAACGCTATTCTTTGGCCATCTTCCTCAACTACAGGAGGGACGGGTACTACGGCCTGAGGCAGCTGGGCCTGCGCAACCTCACAGGTCAGAATGATTGCATGAGCGTTGGCGTATTTAATGGTGCATGATGAACACATCAAAAGGAGTAAATGCAATTTTGTCACTTGTTCTTTTGTTTCACTTCCACTCTTAAGAGGTAAATTAAGTAAATAAATAAGAATAAAAGATGCATAAGAGCACCACTAAATTACACATATCAAATCATTGGAGAATTTTTTGCAGTATGAATGAATTATAGAAGCTTTTTGTGAATTAGGGATACATTTTTCACCACCCTACATGCCATTCTCTGCACCATAAATGCTTGTGTTTGACTTGTTTTTACACCCACAGATTTAATAGTGCCTTTTTAATTAAGTCACAATATTGGAACTCAACTTTTGAAGCTACGAATCTACCCTGGCAAATTAATCGTTTGGCTTGCTATATAGAGGGATCAAATGTCTGTGAAAAGTCCTATTTTCCCGTTAATTACATTTTTGTTTACACACTCAAAAATAGGCTTCTTTCATGGAGCAAGTTTTTTGGAGGAAGTGGTTGTGTTATGTTTTATGTAACAGCTGTTCTTTTTTTGTCATCAGAGGGCATAAGCTAAAGCGGATGGCGTTTGTAAAGGGTAGCTTTTGTCTGCATTAACTTTATCTTGGTATCAGACCTTTGAGTCATGACCTCAGCATCAGTTAATCTTTGCCATTTTGGTGTTACCCAGTGGTGGATTGACCTTCCAACTCCAGTCAGAATAATAGAAGCACTATCTTCTGTTACAGGCTTTAAAATCATCTTTTAAAGAACCTGCTTCACTGTATTCCTGCTTATATCTCCTCTGGCTGCTCCCCAAATAGCCAATTTCCTCATTAGCTATATATATCATATATATAATCCTCACAAATTGTGATGCTAAAAGGTTCACTCATTTTAGCACGTCAGGTGTTGCCTTTTTTTTCGGTCTTCGGCTGCGGCATTACCATCGCTCCAGGAGAGAAACTCAAGCCGTCGTAGGATGAGGGACAACTGTCACATGCAATCTTAAGAGAAGCAGTGGAACTCAGTCTTAAGGTCACTCTTTTTTCTTTTACAGCATCTTTTGCTCTATTTGAAGCCGTACTGTCTAGAGTGACAGGGAAGATGGTAAACAGAGAGAAGCTGTGATATGGGATGAAGGTCAGGAATGAAAACCAAAGCCAGATGACAGTGTCCAAGGCTGTCAGTGTCAGCACTTGAAGGGATGTACTGAATGTCTGAGTATATCGCTGTCATACATGTTGAGTGAATAAAGTAAAAGGCACAAGCAGGAAAATTAAGTTATTCCTTTCTTAATAATAATAATAAATATCCTGCACATTCGGAAACTTGTAGACAAGATCACGATGGAGAGAATGTGATGCCTTTTTGTGTCTCTACACAGCATTCTCGTGTCTTTCATCAATTTGCTGGATTTCTGTATGGCAGAAAAACACGAAAAGAGTACTGCTCTTCCAGTACAAATGGAGCTAAATCTTTTAGATCATCTCGCAATGGCCAATGGAAAAAATCATGTCCAACGCGTATGTCCTCCAAAAAACAGCCAAAGAACAAAGACAAATGCATGAGAAGCTGCCAATCTTTCTGACAATTTGTTCATACCAAGGTATTGGAAATCATTTTTTTATGCTTGTTATGATTTAAAAATTTAAAAACTGCTACATGTGGCACCTTTGAGGTTAGTTTCATGGCATGATTTTGCAGAGGAGATGCCAGAGCATGAAACAAGGAAAGGGTATAAATCTGGGCTCAATCCCACCATGGACCGACCACGTGGTACGTGTCCTGAACTGCCAAGCCACCAGGACGCCTCTGCTGTGTCCCCCTTTGTTGTATTTTGCCTGGGGCTTCTTCTCTAGCATCGATCTGCCCGCTTTACACTGCTCTCCTGTGGGCATTGCAATTTATCCTACATCCATCCTGCCTTCCTACTGCAGGCAATTCTGTGTCAAATGTTTCACAGAGGAACCAAATTAATTTTAGTGTAAAACAGAAGTTGTGTGTCCTGCAGTCCCAACCGACATTTGTAACTTTTTGGAAGCTGGAGCAGAAAAACAGCAAATGCTCAACAAGCACAATAAAATCTTAGACATCAATATTGATAAGAAAAACCCATCAGTGTTGAGAAGGTTGGACAGCAGAAATTCTTCCTAGGCTCTTATGCCATTGACTTTGCTGTGGTGTTTTTGTGATTGATGGCAGGGGATCAAATAGTGATCCATATTAAAGCACATGACAGATTTAGTGTAATAAGCAGCATTTTATGGAGTCTGAACACGGTGATAAAGGGCCCCTGGGAGTTTTAAGGGCATGCTGACACCCTAAGCTGGTAAAGCGATAGGGCGCCTTTCATTTCGACCACCCCTACAAAGAAAGGAAGGCCTAAGTGCACCTTCATCCCTGTCTGACTCATGATAAGTAACACATGTTGCTCTTTTCTGTATTCTATTTTTTCCCTTCTATGTGCCTGTCATTCTTCAGATTGCACTAATGAATGCTTTTTTTACAAATAACTGACTGAGAGCATCATAAACATTATGTGCAGAATTTACCCCTTCTTGGTTAGTAGGGTTGTTTTTTTAGTACTTTCTTTCCTTTTCTTTCATGAGAAACAGCTTGAGTGTGCTCACTTGTACTCCAAGGGATTTTGTTACCCCCAAGGTGAAAATGTTGCATGATCAGTGTCCTTCATAACCTTCCAGGAATGAGGCAATGATCCAGCTAGCGGACCAATATTTCTGTGCTGTTTTCTGCTTTATAGAATGAACAACCAGCTAACATACAGTAAATTTAGTAAAAAGATCAGGATGTTTTTCTTTATGTAACTGGAAAGGCACAGTGAGAAATGCAAGTGAGGTATCTTCAAATAATCCTTTCTGGGTGCAGTAAGGTATCCCTTGCATTATTTATGTCCACAATGCATAATCTACATCTCTGAATTCCTCTTATTTTAGTGAAACTTTTGGAGACTGTGTTGATCCTCTGAGGCAGAATTTACCTCTGCTTCACCGCTGTGATTCAGGCTCTCTACCAGCCCCCCCGCCTGTCTGGCTGGCACTCCACACATCTCATTTTTTAGCACATACTGGGGATGGGTGCCTCATATTGATAGTCTTTAGTCCATACTATCTGATCCCATTGCACCCCAATGCTGTAATTAAGCCATATCCGACCATGCATATGGATCAGTGCTCTTCCTCTTGATTCCCTCCACTCCTCTGCCTGGGACAAAAAGGGATACACAGTGAATTCTCTCTTTTGAATAGGCTCACAATTAGGCTAGCAGATTATTCTCCCATGCTAATGATAATAAGAAAGCTACTATGCACACTTGCTTAAATTCATATATGATGAAATGTACTTATTTGTAATTTATTTTGCAGCCTACCACCATATCTAGAGGGGATGTACGTGCCCAAATGAGAATATATTCAGCATTTCTCACTGCACACAATACATTAAACAACAGCTTCACTGCTACTCTATTCCTCTGTGGAATCACCACACAGTGGGAGTCCACAGAAAGCATGGAATTCAATTTAGCTGTGGAGTCGGTATGCATACAGCGGTGTGGTCTTTATTGTAGCAGGGTTATTGTAATCTGTGTTAAAGAAACTCCTCTGATACCGACTTGTTCAGCTTCACCCTATGATGCTCATGCAGTTCCTTGTAAGCTATATACCCTACAATGCACATACACAACTCATGCATCGACAGCCACATGAACTGTGAGTGCATAAATATAACATGCCTCGCTAGACACGGCAGTGCTAATCACCCCATGCTGCACAGCAGTGGTGATAATAACCACCATAGGACTCTCAGCTGATGAGGTGGCGTGTATGAAATGGTTTTCGGATCCAGATTTCCCTTTCTTTGCTTAAGTTTTGCTTTGTTTGTGAGATTTTTTTTATATATTTTTTTTCTACGCTGTGAAATTGCCCATTTGGATGGTGGCCAAATGGCTCAGCATGCCCCAAAGAGAGCTCTGACTCCAACTTCCCATCTGGCAGCAATGCCCCCCTTCCCATGCTTGTGTGCAGAAAGCAAAGCACCAGTTCTGCCATCCCCTTTCTTTTTTCTATAACCTCTCTGGCTCTCTCACCTGTTTTGCTTTCCTTAAGGCTCACTGGGACTGTAGTGACACTGCTGTGGCTTCACAACCTGGCAACAACCCAAAGATCCCCTAATTTAAAGCTAATAATTTACTGCTGCTGTCTCACTAATTGCAGCATTTTTGTGAGCATTTTGAATACATTTAGCCCAAATTACCAACAGCAGTTGCTGCTGAGATGAATTGATTAATAGACTTCATTATAATTAACCCCATGTGCATCTTCATTTTTAGAGCATGACTATTGATTTATCGGCTCACAGGCATTCTAAGCAGTTTCTCATTTTCAGAGTCACTCTGCTCAGCTAAATCAGAACAAATGGAGATTTTTATTCATGATTAAGGAGATTTGCAAAGTGCTGATGGGAGGGAATCACAAGGACTGTGACCAAAGCACTGATATCTACAACAGTGTCAAGTCATACCCTATACAATATGGTTTTATTCAGCCGCACCAATTGTCTTAAGTAAATATTTCATTTTATGACAATCAGAAATATCTAAAAGTTCGAGTCTCTCAGGAATTGACAATTAGCTAACTTAACTGTGTTACACACTTAAAATTGTGTAGCACTGCATTTCACATGGAGACAGCTGACTGATGTTGCCTTTTTATGCAGCCAGGCCTCCATTTTTACCCTCATGTTCAACTTAAATTGACACTTAAAAGGAATCTGGCTATATACATGTCAGGTTTGAGGGGGAAAAATGCATAATTCCCTCTTTGTAAAAAAAGAAAGAAATGCATGGTAATTGTGTTTGGAATTTGTGTTTAAAAAATGACTTCCAAGGCCTCTTTATTTAACATAAAGCTTGTGGTGTGATCTCCAAAAAGTGGTGTAATTACAGAAAGATCAAATAGAGCAAAAGCGGCTAATGCTAATACCCA